TAACCTACCTCTCTCTCTCTCTCTCTCGCGCCCGTTGCGTGCAACGCAACCCCGCTTCAGCTTTCCTCCCATGCAACCACACACACACACACACAGAAACACACACAGAAACAAAACACAAACACAATGTTATCCTCATCTTCTAAAGCTTGGCAGAAGGCAACACAGCTGAAAGGCGGTACAAGTCGCAAAGGGACTGCTCCACCGCGTCAGCATACAGCTCGCACAGACGTCTTCCGCCATTTTCGACGGCGACATCATGCTTCAGGGGGATTTTCCGCGTGCCCCTCAATGGGCGCGCGCAACTTTTGAGTGCTGAAAAGGAAAAAGTGAGGCGGTCGGGGAAGAGTGAGTACCCAATTCCAATGCCATCCGGATGTGTCGCTGCAAAGCAAAAGGCTAAAATGCCACTGCCCGACATGTTGGAGGTGGACAGATAATCGGATGACAGCTCCCGAAGCGCGGATGACTCGAAAAAACGGGCTTCAACGGAGGCCAAGGCCGTGGTAAAAGCATGCGTGCACGGTGTTGAGCCCGCGGGGGTCAACCGCTGCTTTGCCTCATCGTGAAGACGCCGCAGAAGCGTCAAAGCTCGATGCAGCCCTTTTCCTGCGCGACACACCGTAATGCGTCGGTAATGTTCCTGGCTCGCCTTTTGCAACGCCGCCGCAACCGCCGCGTTAAAGGTCATTTTGTTTTCGGCAGAAGACACCGCATTTGCCACGGCCTGGGTCGCCTGTGTCACCGTTCGGAGGGTTTCCGTGCGTCCATGATGATACTTTTTCATCAGCAGGGCGCAATACGTTGACCGCTGGTCCCCAAAGAGCCGTCGCTGGGCAAGATGAAATGCGGCATGCACAAAGGCGTCAGGACTCACGCGACAGTGCCGCTTGATTTCGTTCGTTCCGACTGCACGAATGTGCCGCACAGTCAATTCGGTTTCGTTCACGTGGCGCTGATGAGATTGGCGGCACGCGGTGATCGCGTCAAGAACACCTTTGGACAATGAACCAAAGTGCACAGGCTTCACGCGTGCTGCATCGTCTGGTAATAGGCTCATCCACGTGTTTTTTTTATTCAGGGCAAAGTCCTCCTTGCAAAGCGATCGCGAGTAATACGCAATCATGCCGCAAACAAGCAGCATGGTACTACCATCGCCCCACGAATGCTCCATGTTGCAGCTGGAGCCACCTGCGGGATCCACCGTGTACGTCACATTGAAGTCGGGATAACGATTCTCAGGGTATTTGCCGCCGTGGAAGGGCAGAGCAAAGTCCACTTCATCATCGAGGCAAATTGCAAAACTGCAGGAGGTAATCGCATCCAAAGCCGCCTTTGAATTCTTTTCTTTCCATAACTCCTCAAAAACGCGCGCCCACGTTGCACGACACCCGCTTGACAACACCAGTGGACTTTCCCTGTGCGGGGATGCGGTGGAGGTTTCGGCGATGACCGCGTCAATCAGGCGCGCATTTGTGACCACCTCCTCCAACCAATGTGCCCCCAAGCCGTTCACGCCACCCCTGTCGTCGAGACGAACCCAATCCAGCACAAACGGGTGTCCCTTACGCAGTAGCAGCACCTTATTGGTGCACGACCAACGCATCCCATCCACGCCCACGTGGGGAACGCGCACAGTGCGAAACAGCCGCGTAAATTGGTCGTGGCAGAGCTTCAAATCCACACGACAGGTCTTTGGCATTCTCTCCTGCCCCTCCGGAGTAAAGTAAAGCGGCTGCTGAACAAGATGGCGTACGTGAAATGACGCTGCCCCAATGATCGCCGCCCGCAAGGCCGGTTTCGATATGTTGAGCTGCTGGCAGGACTGTTCCAGCGGTGGCGCATCGAGAAGTAGCGTGTAATTCCACCCAAAGGGCAGCGGATCCCGGTTGCCAAGGTACAACGAATTCCACAGAGGCGCCATATGCGAGGTTCGCAGCGAGGTGTTACAAATTCGCTTGTACTCCCTTGCAAGGGACTCCAAAAAACGGAAATAGTCCAGAATACCGCGCCACTCCGGGGAGACCTCACCGCCGCCCCCCGAAAGGCCCCGAATCACCTGCCGAGCAAACTCTACGCTGGCTTCCTTGTCAGCAACCCCGTCCAGCGGCTCCAGAAACTCGACGTAGCGCTCCATCAACGTCGCAATATCGGGTAGCGGCAGCTCGGTGGGGCGTGAGGCGGCATCACCACGCAGCTCCATGAACCCAAGAAGCACCGAAGGGGAAGGTTTGCCGCGCGTACGCCAACGCAGCGGCAAATCAAAACTTCAGAAGGAGGCTAGTAGTAGGCAAGAAAAAACGACAACATGGGAAGCAAGAGAACAGAGAAGCCTCAAGAAGAACGAAAACAGCAACAAGAAAACGGATTACTCGACACAACGTTCCCTCTATCCACAAATGGGGGTGGGAGAGGCAAGAACAAGCAAAGCACCAAGCAAAGAAACAAACAAAAAAGTAGTGTCTACGAGAAGAGCATCAGGAAGGCAAGCATGAGGGCAAAGAGACCGATAGCCTCCGTCAGGGCGAAACCGAGAATGGCGTAGTTGAACAGCATCTTCGTCAGGTTCGGCTGGCGCGCGCAGGCGACGAGCAGGTTGCCAAAGATGGTGCCGATGCCGAGCCCGACTCCCGCGAGCGCGATGGCGGCGAGGCCGGTGCCGACGTAGTGAAGCCCCTGCACGGAAATTGCCACTGTAGAGGCAGAACGAAGGACCAGCGCAGAGGGTGCAGCCGCCAGGCGTCGATTGACAGGCCTAATTACAATACGACGCAGCATCCCTTTCCCTTTTCTGTTGTGGTGGCGTTGGTGCTTGCTTGAATGTGTTCCTGGTAGCTTCCTTTTTGGTGTTGTTGTTCAAATGCTATTATGGTTTGTGTATTCGCCTCTCGGCTTCGCGTTAACGTCAATGACTCCGTGCAACTTAGGTTGGAGTAATGAAAAGACAGCGTGAAACCACACGGAGGGGCAGAGGAGAGAAACAGACACACGCCCACAGATGCGCACACCTCATGCACTTCATAAAAAAAAAAAAACGTAATCAGTTATCATTCTGGGATTCACTCACGCCAACAGGAGAGGGGGGGGGGATTTGAACCCGACGAATGCCATTATTTCCTTATGCTTCCGGCTTCTTGCCCTTTGGCGCCATCTTCACTATGGGTGTAGCCTGAACCTGCGTCTTGGCACGGAGTTCTGTGGCAATGGCCTGCGACCGCTTCTTCTGCGCGCGCCTCGCCTCCACTGCCTCCTTCACAGATGTGGTATGGCTCTTTGCCCCTTGCGCCCGCATCTTTGCCTCCTGGCGACCTTGGTTCACGCGGGTCTTGTCCCCGCCCCTCGTGATCTTCGCAGAGCGCCCCATGTGGGACTAGTCTCACCCTACCCACGAATGTACGGCAACGTCAAGAGAAGCAAAGCAGCAACAATAGCAATATACTACTTCAAATGCAACCATCTCGCACCCACACAAGCACACAAGACCTCAACTGTCGCGTGGTGGGACAGGCATCGTTACCAATAAAAATTGTGGCGAAAAAGCAACTTTGTCGTTGTTGTTGTTCATCTCCTCTTTAGTTAGTATTAGTTTCGCCACGACGAATCGCCCGCTTGGCCTCTTGTTCCTTTCGTTTCTCCTCAAGCCGCAGTTCGCGCTGGTAGTCAGCCCACTGGGACTCTTGGAGAAAACGGCGCTCCTCCACGTAACTGTTGCCGTGCCGCTGCTGCCTGAACGTTTCGATGGAGACACCCTCCGCCCTCAGCTCTTCCGCCAAGTGTTGTTCCCAACTCCGCAACGAATTCGCAATAATGCCCGACGTTGCCGTGCTCCCGCGGCGCTCCGACGGATCACCCGCTGCGCGGCCACGCCTAACTGCCTCCGCGGAAGCCGCAGAAGCAGCCGTGTGCGTGTGTCGATCACGTTTCCGTCGACGAACGACGATGCCGCCGCGCTCCAGGGCGGCACAGCCACGGTGCGTCAACGCACTGCCCCTCGCCGTTTGAGCCGCGGTCTCCTCTAGTGGCAGCTTGAAATTCCGGTAAAAAAGCGGGTTCGTGGCTGAAAGTACCCCTTCAAAGTTTTCCAAACGTGCAGGATGGTCAGAGAAGCTGAGAACAGCTAGAAGCCGCGAGAAGAGAAGTGCGTTGGAGAAGGTGGAGAGGATGACGCTGTCGTCTGCGTCCAGCGCGCCCTTGCGGGCGGTGAACGGCTCCACGTACTTTCCGTCGTCCACGGCGACGGCGTCACCCACGTTGCGCTGCGAGAGCAACCGTCGGAGACGCCGGTGCCGCTCCATTCGCTCCATCGCTAACGCGTCGCAACTGCCCTTTTCGGGGCTCGCACGTGGAGGACTCGAGACGGACGAAGAAGAGCCGCTCGACGAGGCCGACGCACTGCGGCTGGAGGACGAGTCCTCGGACTCATTGTCGCTCCCGCTAAATGAGTTCTTCTTCTCATCGTCGTGCGAGGTCGAGAGGGAGCACGAGCGCGCCATTGCCACCCCGCGGCGACCGCTACGGCGCAGCAAACGGCGAAGGCAAAGAAGGAAAAACAACGACAGGAAAGGCAACTTGATGCAACTAGAGAGATCAGCCAACAGACACACTTGAATAACAAATTAAATAAATAAACGCTCTGGCGCCGCAGAAAGAGATTGCGATGCCGCCACTTTCTAGTCTAACAGCGGCAATGCATAACAGCATCTCGTGAAGTGGGTTCTGGGGAGGCCTAGGCATCTATCCCCAGCCGCTGCTTCTCCGCTGCGGTAAAGTACACGGCCAGAATACCGGAAACAAAGCGCTGGAGTTCCTCTAACATGTTGGTCGCCACCGAGCCTAAATTCTGCCTCCAAACGTGCGCACCACCGCTTCCAGAAAGGCGGCGTTGTGTGGGCGATGAACCCTCTCGCGCGTTACTCGTCAGGGCATCTATAACCTGGCGCGCCTTCACGATGCGTTTCAGCAGAATTCCCATTTGATGGACCAAATCGCGGCGTGTCTGCAAAATAAACTCAAACGCATTTTGAAGTTGCCTTAGGTGACTGTCCTCCGCGACGCCGCCTGCCCCCGCCCCGACCAAGTCGGGCTCCTCAACGGTGATATTCATGCTTCGTAAGAAGTTCTTGAACTCGTCGGCATTCGTCGGTAGTATCCTTCCTGCGTCACCGACGCCCAAAGCCCCCACCGCCGTCTGCTGTTGCTGTGACGGCCGCAGAGCAGTTGCGGCGTTGAGAGCGGCAGTAGTGCTTCCATTCGAGCCAATACCAAAGGCGCCACCCTCCAAGCCCACGCTGCCTGTCCCAGAAAGGGTCTGCTTGACGTCCGCAGCGGAATTTGGTGACTGAGAAGAGTTTACGTTTACCCCACCTGCTCCCGCTGCAAGAGTGGCGTCGCCTGTGGCTCCCCCAGCCCCAACCCGCGAACCTGCCGCATTCTTGCTGTTCAATGCGTCAAGAAGTACCGGCAAACTCTTTTTGAAGTTCACAATATCGTCGTCCGACGCGGCTCCCTCCTTCTGTGCGAGGCTAAAAAGTTGGTCAAAGAGGGCGCTAAACCGAGACCCCGCCTCAGGATGCTGGAGGTACTCAAGCAGCTGCCCATACGTCTGTGGGTCACGATCGCGTAAGAGCTGGAGAAACTGGATAAAAGGCCCATTACGGTCGCGAAGCAATGACTTTGTGTGCTCGTCGCACTCCATCTCAAACCGGTCGGGATTACGCACCATCGTGAGATTGAGCAGCGCGGCCAGATGGGGATCCGTAACACGCTCCGCGGCCCTTCGACGAAGGGCATTCATGAGTGCCGTCATGTCACGCTCTTCCTCCTCTTTGCGCCGAATGGTGTACTCCATAGAGACAAGCATGCCCCCCAACACCTGACTGCGCTTTCGCAGTTCCTCCAGTTCCTGCCGCATGGCACCCTCCGTGCTGGCAAGCTGTTTTTGCTGCAATTCCCGCTCGGCAGACTGTGACGACGAAAGCTGCCCCACCGTCGCGTGCAGGCGCGCATTTTCTGCCTTCAACTGCGACACTTCACCCTCGCGATCACGAAGCCGAATCTCTAGATGCGAGTTCTCCGTGCGGACTGCCGCCAGCTGCTGCTCAACGCCCGCCTTTTCAGCGATCTTGGCGGACAGCTGCGTTTTTGTCTGCGAGGCGTCGCGCAGAGCGGCGTGGTAGTCCGCGCGAAGCATGTTGGTCTCCCGCTGTGCCGCATCGGCGCGGGCGTTACTGTCCGTGACGGTGTTCTGTAGTTTATTCACATCCTCCTCAAGCTCCTTTACGCGAGCGGCACGCGACGCGATCTCCGCGTCCTTTTCCTTGAGTACGTGCTCAAATGACATCAGACGAAGTCGCAGTTCATGCGCCTCATCCCTGGCTTGCCGCAACTCCTCCTTTGCATCGGTCACCCGGCTGAAGGATTCCGCCACACGGGTGGACAGCTGCGCGTTCTCCACCGTCAACGCCCCCCTGGCGCCGTGCACCATAGCCGCCTGATCGCAAGGTCGGATGGCAGGTGGTGACTGACATGGCAAAAAATATCCCGCCAGATCCCACACATGAACCACACAATCATTCCCAATTGTCCAGATGCGTGCCGTCTCTGCGGCGTATACGCGTGAAGCGTAGTGAATAAAGGCGTCGTGTGCCATCGTCGCGCGGCTAAGCTCTTCACGTGTTCTGGCGGCGAACACAACGACGGCCCTGTCGTAGGAGGTGGCAAGTACTTTTCCACTGACCGCCAACATGGACGTCACGGCGCCGTCGCCGACTGAAACTCGACCAGCGAAGCTCATCGTTGAGGCGAGGGCGTAGACGCTAACGGTGCCGTTGCGTCGTCCCACCCAAAGTGTTCCTGTGCTCGCCTCGGCAAGAAGACTAGTGACGGCGGAGGCGTCTTGCGCGTGCTCGTAAACCACCTCCCCGCTACGGGGGTCCCACAACTGCACAACGCCACTGCGATCACCGCTGACGATGAGGCCTGCGGCAACTGTTACTGCTGTCACGGGCGCAAGGGCAACAAAAACTGTCACCTGCCTCTTTGTAAACGGGTTCCACTGCACGATGCGGCCCGTTTCAGAGCCGCCCAGAACCGAAAAGCCGTCAAAGAAAAGTGACAAGAGTGGCGCCGTTGCCTCCACACCCAAAACTGTCATGGACTGCTTCCACCGCCTCGCAGGCGCATCAAAGACATGAACAACCCCGGTGATCGTGCCCGCCCAGACCTCATCATGCACAAGTGCCATGGACTTGAATTGCACACGCTCGTCGGCTTCACCAGCAACAGCAACACGCTCCAGCACGTTCCCGCGCTGGGCGTCGCACACGGCAATACCACCCTTCAACTCCGCCATCCAGACGGCATCACCGGCAACGCAGCAACAGCGTGCCTCACACTTGAAGCTCTCCACTGGATTCATGCCGGACGCACGCCTTAGGGATGCACCTCTAGTCGCGCCAAGCGCCATATCCCTTCGCTGGTTCTCTATCTGTACCTGCCCCGGCAGCAACGAAAAAAAAAAAACTATGAATAACGTCAAGGTAAAATAGGAAGACAAAAAAAAACTTTTTTTTTTTGTTGTGTGTGCTTCTTGAGTCAAGCTCCCCCACGCCACAGCACACAACTGATCACACCTGCGTAGCCATCTCCTCAAGACTCGGCCAATCCTTCCTTTTATCTCCCACACACACACACACACGCAGAGGACAACCACGGCAGAGTCACCGAGAGCAGGTCACGCTCTCCATCAGACCCGCACCACCGACCCGCATCCCGGGTGGACCTGAATAACTGGGTAGTGGTAATATTTCTTCATCGCACCGTCGTACTGTGGTATCATGCGCAACCGACCCGTCACAAGGAACCGTTCGCCCTCCTTCAGTTCCTTTTTTAGCTGCTCACAGAAGGAGCTATCAAAGACTCTTACTGTGTGAAAGTCCTTATCCGGGTCGCCAGGTGAAGGACCCTCGAAGTCTGTGATTAATGTGAATTGCACAACCTTCTCTTCAAATACGTAGCCTTCTTGAATGTTCTGCACAGGCCCCAGCACAACACAGTGGTTGACGCAGCGCCAGTGAGCCGCCACATCTCCTTCTTCTGGT